GTTTGTTACTCATGGTTTTTGGTAAGGAATCTGGGAAAAGACTGGGAAAATCTACTTCTGGTTGTCTTTTTGAAAGCAGGAATCCTTTAGGGGAACTTAGTGGAAGCTCTGGCGGGTTAATCAGGCAAACATTTGAGACTTATTTGAAAGGCAGAGATACAGAGAGAGACAGAGAGAGAGAGAGAGAGAGAGCTTCGATGCATTAGTTTATTCCACAATGGTTAGGTCTGAGGTAGGCTGAAGCCTGGAGCTACAGCCAGTCTCCCATGTGGGATGACAGGCAACCCAGAACTTGGGTCACCTGTTGTTTTGCCAAGGGCACTGGCAGGGAGCTAGATGGGAAATGAAGCAGCCAGCACTCTAATTGATGCTAACATTGAAGGTGATAGCTTAACTTACTGTACCACCTTGCTGGCTCCAATCAATTTTTTTAAATTTATTTTATTTTCAATGGAAAGTGAGATATACAGAGAAGAGGATAGACAGAAAGGAAGATCTTCTGTCTGATGATTCACTCCCCAAGTGGCCACAACGGTTCGGGCTGTGCCAATCCGAAACCAGGAGCCAGGAACCTCTTCTGGGTCTCCCATGTGGGTTGCCAGTAGGGCTGCCGGGATTAGAACCAGCACCCATATGGGATCCCTGCATGTGCAAGGCGATAATTGTCTTAGAAACACTTGGGGATTATGAAAATAAAGCTCAACAACTTGTCTGTCACAGGACTGTGATTCGGCTGCTCCCATCTTCAAGCAGCAATCAAATCGTCACCGGCTCTTAATTGTGACCTCACTCCCAAATCCATTTTATTATAAAGAAAGATATGATTCCATGATATGGTGCTAATTTAACATTTTACTTATGTATTCATTTGAGAGGGACAGAGAGAACAGGGAAGGAAAAAGAGAGAGAGCACGAGAGAACATTCCTTTCTCTGAGTTTACTCCTAAATGCCTGCAGTGGGCTGGGGCTAGGCAGCCTGCCAAGACTGGGCTGAGGACAACGTTAGGATCCAGGATCCACTAACCCAGTCCAGATTTCTCCTACAAGTGGCAGGAAACCAATGACATGAGCCACCATTGCTGTCTTTCAGGGTCCACATGGGCAGGAAGCTGGAGTCTGGAGCCAGAGCTGGGATTTAAAACCAGGCACCCTGATATGGGATGTTGGCATCTTTTTATTTCTTTGTGTTTGTTTTTATCTGTAAGGCAGAGCTTTGAGACAGAAGCAGAGAGTGCGATAGCTTCCATCTGCGGATTCACCCCCCTATCCCAGCTGGCTGCAAAGTCAAAGCTGGACCAATCCGAAGCCAGAAGCCAAGGGCTGTTTCTGGGTCTTCTACATGGGTGCAAGGGTGCAAGGACCTGGGATCCCCCTCTGCTGCTTTCCCAGGCCATCTGCAGGTGCCAAAGGCAGAGGCCTCAGCTGCCACACCATAATATCAGCCCCGGATGCAGTCATCTTAACTTCCAGGCGAGACACTGGCTCCCGCAAGGCTGATTTTAAAGTGAGTTTCAAGCATTATTGACTGAGGCAGCCTAATATCCATATAAATAAAAGTGAATAATTATTCACATAAATAAAAGCAGTGCCATGGAGAGCTTTTGAATATTAATGATATTTAAAGGCACAGGTAGACAAAGACTTCAGCTGCCAAGGTTAAAAGCAAAAACCCTCAGAATTCCAAGGGAAAGCAAGCCTTCATGTCAAAAATAAACTCTGAGATTGGATGACAAAAGTCCAAAAGCTGCTTGTGAATTCAGAGAGGGCAGCCATGGATGTTGCAGAGCTCGTTGTGGACAGCTCACGGAGGTTCATGCTGCTAAGCATGGGAGCACAGCGTCTCTGCTACCTGCTACCACTGGCTTTAAGTCTCCTTTTTGTGTCTTTATTTCCTTTCTTGTTTTAAAAATTTGTATGGATATTCTTGTGCCTCTCAAAAGAGAAAGCCAACAATTTGATATGTTCTTTAATTTGCCTGATGGAACAGCTCATGAATTAAAACTTTCCACCTTTTCCATATTTTTAGATTAATTTTATTTGATGGACCCTGCACAATGGCTCAATTAGCTAAATCCTCACCTTGCAAGCACCGGGTTCCCATATAGGCACGGCTCATGTCCCAGCTGCCCCACTTCCCATTTAGCTCCCTGCTTGTGGCCTGGGAAAGTCTCAGAGGATGGCCTAAGGCCTTGGGACCCTGCACCCATGTGGGAGACCCAGAAGAGGCTCCTGTCCACTCCCCAAGTGGTTGCAGCAGCCGAGGTTGGGCCAGTCCGGAGCCAGAAGTCAGATTTTCCATTTTCCATCCAGGTCTTCATGTGAGTGGCAGAGGTCAAAGCACTTGGGTGCAAGTTAGTTCTAGCTGCCCCACTTCCAATCCAGCTCCTTGTTAATGTGCCTGGCAAAGCAACAGCAGAAGAGACCAAGCAGGGAGCTGGATGGGAAGCAGAGCGGCTGGGATACAAGCTGGTACTCTGATGTGTAATGTCTGCACTGCAGGCAGCAGTTTAACCTGGGCAATGCCAGCCAGCCCCTAGCCTTTCTTTTTCTCTTCCCCTCTCTCCATACCTCTTGTAGCTTTCTTGTGAGTTCCTTTTGCATCTGTTTGTACAACACTGGGAAGTCATCATTTATTCAGGAAGAAGACAGTGTGTGATGACCTATGAGAGCTGGTAATGTACTAGGCTATCTCCCTCACTTCCCTGCCTCTGCATTCATGGGCAGCTCCACATCTCCGTGGCTGACAGAGGTGACCAGGCCATCCATCCATCTGCCTGGGTGTTTAGAACAAGGATTTTTGGTTTCTTAGAGCCATGTAAGGCCCTTTTTTAGGTCCTGCCTGCAGATTCTCCCAGGAAGCCACAACAATGCTAAACATTGGGAGGAGCTAGGTCTCCTAGTAGGGGTGCGCACTCACTGCTTGCTGTTCCCTGTGGGGAACTCCAGCAGCCACACTCAATGGCAGCCTCTCATTGGAATTTTCCCAGAAAACTGGCAGAGGCCTTCGATCCAGCCTGTGCTCCCACCAAAGCAAGCTTATTTCATTAGAACGCACCCTGCTGTGAGACCCAGGCCGATTCTGCAGGTGAGGCCAACGTTCACCTATGGTTAAGGACTGCTGTCTGCTGATTGCCGCTCTCATGAGGCTGAGCTGGACGACAGAACGGAGGTGTGTGAGGGCCAAGGGCCAGGATGATGGTACCCACACTGGGGGCAGCCTGCAAGCCCAGGGCGCTGGGCTGGGACTCAGTCTCTTAACACAGCTTGACCACTCAGAGGGCTGCCACGTCTTTCCCTATGCCAGCAGCCACCAAAAGCCAAACACGAAGTGGCTTCTGCCACCCTCACTTTGCACAGCCCCCTTACCATTCCTTCAGCCTTGACACAAGCCCTGGAAGGGTTTCAGGGGGCTTGGTGAAGGACCACACATGCATGAGACCGACACACTAACAACCATGTGGGCAGGGTTCCCTGGTGGTATTCCAACCTGGCTGTGTTGCTTACTTGCCACAGTACTTGTCCCCCACTACTCTGGAACTGTTGTGCCTCAGTCTTTCCTTCTGTGAAGTGGGTGTTACCACAGGTCACGGTACAGGTTCATGTTTACACATATACAGAGAGGGCCCTGGTCCTGCTCCTGGCCCGTGGGAACACAAATCAAAACCTCACTGAAAAGTTTGTGAGTTTAATTGGCTATTACAAGGTGAGGACCCTGCTCCTCTTCTGGAGACTTGGGAGGATTTACAGGGCTCTGATGCCGACCAGATGGTGAGCATCCCAAGCCGAGGCTAGCAGTAGCTCTCATCTGGAAAGCTGACGACAGGCGTCTGGGAGCTCAGTCACCCCAGAGCGACCAGACAGGGCAGACAGCTGAGATCAGGGCCCTGTGGCACTGGAGCTGCTCTTGTTTTTCCCCTAACTGCTCACATTCTCACACCTGTGTCTTTGGGCAATTCAGAACAGCAACGCCCGGGCCCAGGCAGCCACTGGGGAAGCCTGTTGGCCTCTGTACAAAACCCAGCAGACAGCATCGGGTGTGTGAGATAGGAGCTGGGCAGGGGCATCCCAAAGCACAGGTTTCAGATGCGCAGTTGATACGACAGACCAGGCCTTGGGGTCAGGAAACAGGGAGCCCAGGCCTGGAAGAGCTGGCAGTATCTTGTGGCTCCTGCATTTTCCTTTAACCTGGCCTCAAAAACTCATGAGATGGCTAAGCCTCTGCCTGAGCTATTGACATCCCATAGGGGTGCCGGTTTGAGTCCTGGCTGCTCCACCTCTGATCCAATTCCTTGCTAGTGTACTTGGGAAAACATCAAAGGATGGCTTGAGTCCTTGTGCCCCTGCACCTAGGTAGGAGACCCAAAAGAAGCTCCAGGTCCCAGGCTCCTAGCTTCAGATTGTCCAAAGCAGCCATTTGGGGACTGAACCAACGGATGGAAGAGCTCTCTCTTTGCCTCTCTTTTTCTCTGTAAACCTGGTCCTGCCTGCCTTAAGTGATGCCAGGAAACCATTGTCTCTCCACAGCCATCTCTGACCATGACTTCCCTAAAACCTGGGGAGAATGTGCAGGTGTGAGGCTCAGCAGCCATCATTTCAACTTTCCTTTAGGTCGTGTCTGGTCTCAGTTCCCTCACTGGAATGCGAAGTCCACTGTTCAGATACAGCCCTACCCCAGAAGGCTGTTCGAAGGACAGACTCCCAGACCCCCACCCTGAAGCACCTGCATTAGAACCTGCAGTTGAGCAGGGACCCGGTAGTGTGGCAGCGCTCTTGCCCTCACGGCTTTCTCCTGGGTACCTGAGGGCACAGGGTCAGAGCCCGTGTACCTGTTGACTCAGATGGAAGCAGCTGGGGGATGGAAACTCCACAGGATAAGAGAGAAGCTAGAAGATTCTGAGGGGCAGGGTGTTGGCACATTGCTGCCCAGGCGAGGACACAAGATGAGCTGCTCTCAGTCACAGAGGACCAGAAGAAGTGAATTTGTTCCACCTGGGTCTTACCTCGTTCAACTTCTCAGGAGTAAAAGCCGAAGTCAAGACGCCCCTGACCTCTTTCCATCTCTGGTCACGTAAGAACAGGACGCTGTTGGCCACCGGCTTTGACTCCAGCCCTGAGGCCTGTGGGGAAGCATCAGAACAGAGGGTCAGCGCACCCCAATCACCTGGGCAGCAGGCCAGCTTCCTGATGATCATCCTGGTAGCTAACACATTCTCTCTTCAAGAAACCAGAAGAATCTGGAAGCTTGTGGGCAATGATCTAGAGACTCATGGCTCAGGTCCAGGGCTCTGCAGGCCTAGCTCTGCCCTGTCATCAAAATAGCTTGGGGACCTCTGGGCACTCTGAGGTCCCCTACCAAGGGACACTTCCCTGGGCAGGTTTTGTAGAGGCAGGCTGGGCTTCATGTCCCTATGCCATGGCAGGGTTTTGATGTGGCTGCATTGGTTAGGGAGGGTCGGGATTGACAGACTTAAGTGTCTGGGTCCTTGGTGTGTGGGTGTGGAGAGAGGAGAGAAGGGAGTAGGAAAGAAGGGGCTGTGAGAAGCGTGTCCCGGAATAGCTGCTTCCAAAAGAATGGTGTTTCTTCTTCCTTTCTTTTTTATGTATGTATACAAAAAGGATGTATAATTCAAAAGTTAGAGAGAAAGAGAGAGAGAGATCTCCCATCTGCTGATTCATTTCCTGGATGGCTGCAACAGCCATGGCTGGGTCAGTCTGAAGCTAGGAGCCAGGAGCTTATTCCAGGTTCTCCCATGTGGATGCAGGGGCCCAAGAACGTGGGCCAATTTTTGACTACTTTCTCATGTGCATTTAAGCAGAGAGCTGGACCAGAAGTGGAGGAACAGTGGGCATGGAACTGGTACCCATATGGTGTCACAGGTGGTGGCTTTACCCACTCTGCCACACCACCGGCCCTTTCCCCTTTTGATTCTCTTTAACCAACACGTATTTGTGTGTTACAGGCTGAACCTGTTGAAGCCCAACCTCCAGAGTCTCAGAAAGGAACTGTATTCGGAGGTAGGGACATTAGCAGGAATTCAGATTAAATAATGTCATTCAAGTGGGCCTTTATTTAGCATAGCCTGTGTTCTTAAAAGAAGAAATTTTGCATTGCAGTGGGTCAGGCCACCACTTATGACTCTGGCATCCCATGTGGGTGCCTATTCAAGCCCTATTGCTCTACTTCCAATCCAGCTCCCTGTTAATGGTCTGGAAAAGTAGCAAAAGGTGGCCAAAGCATTTAGACCTCCTGCTACCCATATGGGAGACCTGGTTGAAGCTCCTGGCCATGTTGAAGCATGAACCAGGAAATGGATGGTCTATCTGTCTCTTCTCTCTCTTTCAAATAAATAAGCCTTAAAAATAAATTTTAAAAAATAGAAGAGCTTAGGACAAAAACATGCATCGAGCACAGACTACACGAAGGCCCGAGGAGAAGACAGTCATCTACCGGCCAGGAGAAGCCTTCAAGGTCCACCCTGTCCACTCCCTGACCTGGGGTCCTGGCCTGTCCCACCGGGAAGATGAATGACTCTGGCTTCAGGCCCCGTCTGGGACGTGCTGTGATGGTGGCTTGAGTACCCCGGAACGGATAGTTCAAGAGGTAGGCTCCAGGGTGGAAGGGGAAGGGAAAAGACTGTCTTGGCCCCCTCGGAGCTAACAGCCTAGGGAGGAAGCAGGGATGGCTAGGACACTTGACAGGCACATGCCCTTCTGGTTGGTGGGAGGGCCAGTGTGGTGAGGGGCCCAACAGGATGGGGGTGGAGATGGAGCATGGGGTTAGGAGGTCCTGGAGCAAAGCGTGCAACATGCAGAGATGCCTTCAGCATCCTCCTTCTTTCTGGCCAAGCTGTTCCATCTCTAGCTCTCTCACTGAGTGGCCAGAAGTGCCTCCCACCACCCCCAGGTCCACTGCTGGCCAGGGTACCCCTGGCGCCACGGTTGCAGTGTGAGGGGCGACAGGGCCTGAGAGCCGCCATGTAGGAATCCTGTGTGCAGTGTGGTTTCGCTATTTCTTTTCACTGTTTTAATTATAGTTGAAACATGAAGCCAGCCATCATAATTCAAAAGCCTTGTAAAAACTCCTATTTAGAGGAAAATTATAATTTTCTGATAAAATATGAACACTCAAAATAAGCCATAAAACATAACTGGCAAAGTGTCTGGGGAGGATTTAATTATATATTAGACCCGAGTCGCTGGGATATTTTTCTGCCGAGGAATACCTCTCTATATTTAGAATGAAATTCTTTAGGAGTGCCATGGCCACTAAATTATGGTCTGATGGAATTTTTGGAATAGAATCCGTTTGTTTAGGTTCCAGAGTCAAAGGAGACAATCACACATTGTGCATATTTATAGAGTGCCAAAGCCAGTCCTGTGCCACGCTGCTGAGCATTTTAGCAGCGAGAGAGTGGGATGGTGATTTGTGGGGTTCTGATGGGGAGGAATACATGAGAAGGGAGAAGCAGGAAGATGGATAGGATTTTGCACCTATCCTGAACACCACGGCTTATCTTGTATTTGATGGACAAACTTCACTCTCCAGGCACTGTGTCAGCATGGCCCCCAAATCCCTCCCTTGCTAACCACAGCATCCCTCTGCCTTCTACCTGGAAGTGCCACTAGAGCTCACCGTGTTTGGATGGGAAAGTTCAAGGGCATCGGTTACAATAGCATTTTTCTTTCTAGATGCCATACTGTAAGAACCCTGTCTTCATACATTCTTTAATGAGAGTTTACAGAACCATGCCTGAGGTCAGGGCAGGCTACCCAAGGAGGAACAACGGAGCCATGGGCAGGCTTGTGGGTGCTGGACAGGAAGGGGCTTCTGGGCTGTGAGAAAGGGGAACAGCGAAGCAGGGCTCCCCAGTGCAGCCCTGCATCCTGAGTCCCCACTAGGTACCTCCAGGGGCTCTCTGACCAGGAACTCCCATGCCACAGGCTGTGAGCAGTTGCAAAATCAATGCAGTGAGCGGCAACCTGCATTTATAAAGAGAAGAAGAACTAGAGCAGAATAGGAAACACAGATGAGCATTTCTCAAGGCAACAATATTTTGATGTTGTTGATCTTGTTCTAGATGGATTTGCATGTGTGTTTGTGTGTGTCTGCGTATCTCTTCCCAAGCTTATTGTATCCAAACAGGATTCTCAGTGTAGATCCTAGCCACAAAAGTTTGAGAAGCCTATTCTAACCCAGACCCCAAACCTGGAAACTCCTTGCCCTCAATTAAACTCCTGTGGTCAGTCCTGGCTTTGACAGTTCCCTCCTTTCTGAGTGCAACAGAAAGCCAGGGAGAGCTCTTTAACCTATCAGGTATTAAGAGTCTGTATTAAGACACAGCCGGGGTTTTCTGCGAGCTCTGGCTGTATTTCCTATGCTGGGCTTTGAAAGGATAAAAAAGAGTGTTGCTTTCACACCTAGTCTCTAGGTTCAAGTCTGTGTGATGTTTTATTTATTTATTGGAAAAGCAGATTTAGAGGGGGAAAAAGAGAACGAAAGAAAGAGCTTTCCTCCACTGGTTCACTCTCCAAATGACCGCAGTAGTCAGAGTTAGCCAGTGTGAGGCTAGCAGCCAAGAACTTTTTCCAAGTCTCTCACAGGGTTCAGGGTTCCAAGGCTTTGGGATATCTTCCACTGCTTTCCTAGGTCATAAACAGTGAGCTGGATGGGAAGTGGAGCATCTGGGACATGAATCAGTGCTCAGGTGGGACCCTGGCACTTGCAAGGAGCAGATTAAGCAATTGAGTCATTGTGCTGTGCCCATGTGTGATGTTTTAGAACTGGCCTTGCAGGCCTCAGCTTCCCCAGCTGTAAAAATGAAGATAAAGATGCCAGTGACCCCCATCCTCTTGTGATGGATGCGAGGCTTTATTTAAAGAGTATTTGTTTCAAGCTTGGCAAGAGCTGGGCCTGACTCAGGAGCTTGGGTTCACAACTGTGAACAGCACACAGTTCCCTCCCCTTTCATAGGGAGATGAATCAGTCAGTGTAGGAAATGAAAATATGTTATCCAAGGACATTTGTAATGGGGAAAGAGACAAAGCAAAGGATTATGAAATAATACTGTTACATGGTTTCATGGCTGGTAGAACAACAAAGACAAACAGAACGCTATCAGTCTGGAATCAGATGGAAAGCCACAACCCTCTACATTTAGCTCAGTAGGATACAATTTTTAAAGTTACTTTCCTAATTACTAATTTGCAGAAATCACAGTCAAAAATATGAATGCTTATGGAATCATCATTTAACATTTATTTGGAATATCTCAAGGGTCAGCATACGCTCACCCCAAACCTGACAGACAGGAAAGAATCTGTAGCTAGGCTCATCCATGGACAGAGATGCAAAAATCATAACCAACATAGAAAATAATTGGACACACTGATATATTCAAAAAATAATCCATCAAGACCAAGTGGGACTTATTCTAGAAATGCAACCTCTGAGAATTGGTGTAACTGGCTACAGGAACAGAATAAAATAGAACAGCAGATACCTTAATGGATGCAGAAAGAAAGTGGTAAGATGTGATAGACGCCACTGATGGTGACAACTCTCAATGGATAATGAATGTATGTTACAAAGAAATCCTGGTTAGCATTATTCTCAACAGTGCAATACTTAACACTTGCTGAGACTGGAAACAAGACAAATAGGTGCACTGTCACAATCCTATTTGACGTGATGGAGAGTACAATAAAGCAGGAAAAAGAAATGAAATATGTAAAAGTTGAAGTGGAAGAAGTAGTTTCTATTTGTAGAAGAAACAATTTTATAGCATAGAAAAAAAAACCCTACAAAAAAGCAATTTCAGTGTTGCACTTAATTAGATTGCTGAATATAAGTTTGACACACAGAAATCATTTTGTTTATGCTGAGGGATAATAAACAATGGGAAAATTAAAACAAAATATACTATAACTATACTACTACCAAATACCTGGGAGCAAATTTAACAAAGAACGTCAAAGGCCTTTCCACTGAAATATAAAACATCACTAAAGTAAATTGAAGAAGACCAACATAGATAGAAATTCCATGTCTATGATATGGAAGACTTGATGTTGTTAAGATATCAATTCTTCAAAAATTGAGAAGCTGATTCTAATACAA